AAAAAAAAAAAAAAAAAAAAAAAAGTAGAGCTCTGGTTAAAGCACAGGTAGGGGGGCCTAGGGACATATTTGTTCCCCCTCCCTTCAAATTCTAGAAGTGGGTCCCCACAGAGTACAGTTGAAAACCACAATATCAGAAGGTAGCTAATGTTCTCAAACATTTTATAAGGCTGAATCTATGAAGAAAACTGTTTAGGTTGACCATGTAGGTAAGGAGGATAAGGGTAATGTTTATTTTATTTCATTTAGAATAGGAGTCCATACAGTAGTTCCTAAAGACTCTCTAAGGATCTTTCTGAAATGTGTGGGATGTTTTTGACTATCATAATGACAAGGAAGCAATATTGTCATTAGGGTCTGGAGGCCCTGGATATCCTACCATGCAAATGATACTGCTATAAAATGCTGACTTATCCCACCCAAAATGCCAACAGCACCCCTTGAGAAAGACTAGGATAACAGAAGGGGACGAGAGGGGAGAAGGGATAAATGGATAGAAAAATGACAGCAGAAGAAAGGGCGGGGAGTCCCTAAGAATCACCACATTAGATCAGTCCTGGGCCCAGGGCTCTAATCAGGATAATCAGGATTTCCTGAAAGTGGACTTTTAGGGAGGAGGCTGAGATCACCTTTGATAGTGGTGGTGATATCCTCACAGGTCAGGGATGACCTTGAGTGTCCTGGCCTGCTCTCAATGACGGAGTGATTAAATTGCCCTTCTGGGGACCCTGGTACAGTCTTTGGGCCTATAGCTTTGCCAGCTCCCTCTAAACTAAGGGTGAAATCTTGAAGTTGCTTCCTTCTTTATTTTTAATTCCTGGGATTACTTCTTTTATGCATCCTGCATTGCTCTGGGAACAACCTGAGGGCAAGAGCTGTGTTTCCCCCCTTTGACTTTGGGCTCCCAGAGAAGGAACAATGTCTCTTCTATTAGATTGGGAGTTTCCTGAAAGTGGAGCCAAGTCTCCTATTTCTTTTACTCCTTTCAGTCACCAAGAAAAAAATCATGCCTGTTAATTAATATACCTGAGACGAAAATGATACCACGTGGCTAATCTTCACAGGAGCCATGGAAGGCCCAGCAGCCGTCCCAAGTACAAGGCAAAAATGCTTTCTCCTGAGACTGCTTCTATCGCCACCTTGGCACTGCCTATGTTTTGGTCCCGTGAGCTTCCAGAAGAGAAGGAATCCTCATGGTACTCCTGAAGAAGAGAACAAAAGGAAAACAAACTAGCCATGGTGGTTTCTCTGGGAACAGGAGTTATTTGCAGCAGTGATGACCATGATGGGCTTGGTTGGGTGGTGGGCAGGGAGCAGATGTGGACCAGCTGATGAGATTACAACAAACGTGAAACAACTGGAACGCAACCACAGAGCAACAGAGCAGCAAGTACGAAATAATACATTAATATCTTAATGTTGGATTTATATGTAGGTGTGCTCCCCAGGGCACGAATTGTGCCTTAAATCATTCATCTCTATATCCCTAGAGCCTAGCACATAAAGATGTGCAATAAATGTTTTTTTTTTTTTTTTTATAATTTTATTTATTTTTTCCCCTCAAAGCCCCAGTAGATAGTTGTATGTCATAGCTGCACATCCTTCTAGTTGCTGTATGTGGGAGGCGGCCTCAGCGTGGCCGGAGAAGCAGTGCCTCGGTGCGCGCCTGGGATCTGAACCTGGGCCGTCAGCAGCTGAGCGCACGCACTTAACCGCTAAGCCACGGGGCCGGCCCCAGCAATAAATGTTTAACTAAATATGTGTCACAAGTCTCTTTTGCTTTTTTTCTTTCCATACAATGAATCTTCCCAAATTAGCTTTTCATTAAGTTTCTCCTCTATTAGAAATCTTCAATGGCTTGCTGATGTATGCAAATTTCTTGCTACATGGTAGGTACTTAATAAATATTAACTCAGCTTGGCCCCTGAAAGCATCTACAATGTAGATTTCTACATTTCCTGCTTCATCTCCTACCATTTCCTTCATCAGAGGAGGTGTTTTATCTGACTATCATTGTTTTGTTTATTTATTTAATCTTAAAAGTTCATATGGGTATTTGTACTTTGTCTTTTGTTGGACTTTTTATGGAAAATTTTAAATATGTGCAAAAACATACATATTAGTATAATGAACTCTCATGCATCCATCACCTCGCTTCAACTCGCTTCAATTCTTTGGCCAAAGGTGTTTTAAAGTTGTCTGAACGTCTTTAGGTGGGATCTCTCTCCAAATATTTATACCCTGCCCTTTTTACTCATGTTTCTTATCCACCTGGGCCCTCAAAATGAGTCCATGACCCCTAATATACTCTTGGCCATAATGGTCTTCTTGCCTCCCTCCCACCAAAATTTTTTCCTACTTCTAAGACTTTGCTCATGCTGTTACATCTGCTTGGAATGCTCTTTCCCTCTCCCACTTGTCAAATCTAATGCATCTTTGATGCTCAAATGTCACCTCCCCTCTGCTCAACCAGCTCAAGGTGATGGCTTTATCCTCTCAATTATGTATTACAATTATTTGGGTACATGTCTTATGTCCCTTGACCAATCGTAAGCTCTTGGAGGACAGGCTTCATGTCTGATTCATTTCTGTATCATCAATGTGAGAGGGAGAAGGATATAATTCCTGATTAGCAAATGTCTGCTGAAGGAACGACCATAGAAACTGAGCACCAAAGGGCCAGCAGTCATGGAGTGCCTGGAGTGGGGTAGACTGCTGCGACAGCAGTAACAAACGTTTAGTGAACACCAACTAAAGGTCCCGCATTCCTCACAGGTCACATGCAATTTGGTGCCAAGGCTTCAAGGAGAGAAGAATGCAGGACGAATCCTGAGTCACCTCTCTCGGACTCCAGGTTAATTAGAGCTCATCATTCCCACCAAAGGAACTCATTAAACATTCAACAATTTTTCCTACTCTCTGCTAGATATTGGAGATACAAAAATAAATATGATATAGTCTCTGTTTTGGAGAAAATCCCAGTATACATTTGTGATTTGATATGAAAACTCCACCATCTCTCATCACTAACACAGGTGTCTGACTTAGCCAGCTCCAAAACTACACGTTAGGCTTGGGGACCCCAAAGCCATCAATCTTGGATATTTCATGTAGGTAATATTTTAAATATTTCTAGTAGGTACCTGGTATCTACTAGACACTGTATTAGGTGCTAGATACACAGTGCTGAATAAGACATATGCAATCTTTTTCATGAAGATCACCATTTATCAAATTGCTTATAGTTCTCCAAGGATTAAGTGCTTTCCGACGTCCTTTATCTTGCCTATGCTGTTGTTCTTGTTTTTGGCAATGGCTTGTTTACCCTGTGTGTCTCCCCACTAAGAAGTGAGCTCTTTGAGGATATGGGTTTTTGTCATGTTCATCATCTCCCACATCTCACAGAGATGCTGAAACACAGTAGGCATAAATAAATAGCCACCGAAAAGAGCAGTTCATTAAGTCAGTATAATTCCGATCAGCATTTCAGCAGAAGTTGCTGGCAAACATGACAAACTCATTAACCAACAAACAGCCACAAATTGATAAGATAATTCTAAAAAGATAGACCAAAGAGGTGAGGCTCAACGTCTTTGAAAAAAATTACAAAGGCACAGTAATTGAAACATACTGTCTATAGAAATGAGCAAACTGGGCCGGCCCGGTGGCTTAGCGGTTAAGTGCATGCGCTCCGCTGCTGGCGGCCCGGAGTTTGGATCCCGGGCGCGCACCGACGTACCGCTTCTCCGGCCATGCTGAGGCTGCATCCCACATACAGCAACTAGAAGGATGTGCAACTATGACATACAACTATCTACTGGGGCTTTGGGGGAAAAAATAAATAAATAAAATTAAAAAAAAAAGAAACGAGCAAACAGATTCCAGAAACAGACTCATATAAATGGGAATTTACAAACTGTCAAGTTGATTGTAAGATAGAACAGAATCATGATCTGTCAGGAAAAAGATGAAGTGATAAATGGTGTTCAGAAAACTGGTTCACAATGTGAAGAAAAATAAAAGTAGATCCCTACCTCATAACATATTTTAAAAATTAAATGGAGCAAAGACGGAAACATGAAAAATACTTTACGGTGACACAAACAAGGTTAAAATACAAATGACTGACTGAAAGAAGATATTTGCAACACAAGTAAACTTGGATAGTATTCAAATATATATTTTTAAATACTACAAATCAGTAAGAAAAGGGCAAGCAGTCCAATAGAAAACTGGAGAGAAGATATAAACATACAGTTCACATAAGATGAAATCTGAACGACCAAAAATCCATATAAAAAAATCCTCAGCACCGCTAGTAAGAAGGAAATTGCAAATACTTCTTCCTCTAAGACTGGAAAACATTTAAAAGTCTACAATATAAAGGATTGGCAATAATATGGGGAAATTGGCCTTCTCATAAACACTTCCAGCACATCTTAATTCTGACTAGCTACAGTTCAAGAATAGCCACAGGTGGCTAGTAGTTGACTTATTGGAACAGCACAGCTCTAGAGGGACTCACATGTGCGCAATAAGACACATACAAGGTTTCTAATAGCAAAAGCCATAAAATTCTAATGTCCATTAGTTGAAGAATGGATAAATGAATGTTATATGTAATGCAATGGAATACTATATAACAGTTAAAAGGAATGAATTAAATGTAAATATACATAAACATGGACAGTCCTAAAAAATAATAGAGTGAAAGAATAAGCTATAGAACGATACATAGAAAATAGCACTTATGTTCATCAAAAAACAAAATGAAACAATACAATACTTAATATTGCTTGTGAACACACAATTTTTTCTCAATGGACTGAGAGAATGTACTGCTAGTCATGATAATAGTTGCTTCTGGGGAGGATGAAAGGGTAATGGGTCTGAGAGCAGAAGACACAGAAGTTCAACTTTTATCTGTATTATTTTATCTTTTTAAAAAATGAGGAAGAAAACAGATTATGATGTCAACAGTCAATTTGGGGTTAGGGGTATACAGTGTTTATAATATTCTTTGTATTAAGTTTCACATAATAAAAATAATTCCCATTTTAAGTAAATGAGATGCCTATAGACGGTGTAAATATTACCCGGTAACTTCCTGTTGGCTCTCAAATGAAGTTCACTGGCATTCTAGTACTCTGTGAGCTCACAGGTCATCCTACCCCTACTCACCCGATAGATGCAGCCGGGACGCCCAGGGGCCGTGTGAGCCACAGGGGCCACAGGCTTGCAAGGTGTCGGGTCCGGGCACAAATAACAGGGTGTTGGAAATGAGTTCTGAAGCTCTAAGGTGGGGTGCAGCACAGTGAATAAGGTGTATAGGAAGGGGACAAGTAGGAGCTGGGAAAGCAGGATGTGGCGTAGGAAAGAGTACCAAGATGTGTGAAGTGGATCCTGAGGCGTGAGAGCCTAAGAAGCCGTTTGGGGGCCGTGGAGGTCCCGCAAGGCTCTTCAGCTCGCAGCCTCGGGAGCCTAAGCCGCGCGGTACTTCCACGGCTCCTCGGAACGCGCTGTTCTGTCCACCTCCTTGATGTCCACCCCTTCTCCCTGTCGGCACTCCCCTCCTCATCGACAACCCCCAACGCCCCTCACCCGGGACAATGGACCTCGAAGAGCCGCCGCCGCCTCAGATCGTGGACCACAAACTCATTCTCCCGCCAATTCAGCCCTCTGACCTCCGCCTTCTGACCCGAAGCACCACTTTTCCGCCTTCCGAAGCCCGGGAATTCGTTCTGGGCCCTCAAGAAGCCGCTGTTTGTGAAAAATGACTCCCACCGAGGCAAGAAGGCACGTGCAATGGCCGGTAAAATACATTCGTGTGTTTTATGTATATTTTCACGCAGTACAAATCTCCTGTCGGCAGAACGGAATTTAAACTTCCGGGTCAGATTCAATGCTTTCTGGGAAACGTAGTCCTTAGCCTCCACGCCTTATTCCTTGGAGCCCAGAGTGAGGGAACGTCGCGAAAGTTGACGGTTTAGGGACACTTCTCTTTGGCTCTCTAAAGGGGAGAATTGTTGAAATATTTGCACTGAAAATAATACGAGCCAAATTTCTCATTTTCCAAGAATCTTCCCCCGCCGAAGCTTGGAAGTGCATGGGAACCGTCCCTCCTTGACCTTTAAGTGGGTAGCAGGTAGATGGTCTCTTAGTTCCTGTCAGGTCTCCGCCTGTCTTGGTGCCCCGCCCCCTGTGCTGGAGCCCGCGCCTCCAATTGGCTGGGAGCACTTGAGCGGCGGAAGCAGCTGGCTCGAGCGGGGTCTGGGGGAGGGGGAGAGCTGTGAAGATGGCGGCTGTGGTGGAGGTGGAGGTTGGAGGAGGTGCAGTCGGGGAACGGGAGCTGGAAGAGGTAAGAAGAGTTGCGAGTCGAGGAGAGGAGATAGGCGGAAACTGAAGAGAGGGGAGGGGAGGTATCGGGAGTGGGGGTCCTCGGAGAGACGGAATCCTCAGAGGGAAGGAGTCAACTGGCGGGCGGGTGCGCGGAGAGGGATATCAGAGGAACCCTGGACTCCGGGTCTGCGAGGCGGTCATGGGCGTAGAAGACTTGAGGTAAGCTCCAGGGTGGAGATGGAGGGCAGGGAAAGAAGCCAGAGAAGTGGGGGTGTTAAGATATGAGATTGTTAGCTGGGGGGTCCTAGGGTAAGACTAAAGGGCTGAGAGGTAGCTTGAGTTGAGAGGCGTGGACTTCTGCGAGGGGAGGCCGGGCTTTAACTGTGGGAAAGGACTCTGTCCAGGTTTGGAGTGGGGGTTGCGGACGTGGACCGGGGAAGAGAGCTAACCTAGTATTAGAGCTTTGAGTTATTTTTATGTAGGAGTTACTTTATTATTTATCCTTAAATTCTAGAACTTTGTACATAGTGTGCTCAGTAAAGTTTGGTCAACGAACGAAAAAACGAGTGGATGAATGAATGATTGCATACCGGAATTCATCCATTCACTCATTTAACAAACATTAAGTATCATCACCTTTGTGCCGAGTCCTGGGCTAAGTGCTAGGGACAACAAGGGGCCCTCCCCTGGAAGAGCCCACACTCTAGTGGTGGGAGACACACAAGAAGACTAGTCATTTCATCAGGGGTATAATGGTGGCGCTGAGAAGAGGGAACCAGTTCAGTTTGGGCTAGGGAAGCCTTCTCAGAGGAGCTGAGTCCTAAAGGATGAATGACTATTTATCTCGCTTTCTTTCTAGACTTATGAGTTCTTTGAGGATGAGCTCCTTGAGGCTGTATGCCCCCTTTACCTATCTAATAGGCATTTAACAACTGGTGTGTTCAATTACTATTGGTTCTTGAGGGAATCACTAGGGGGAAAGAGACATTGAGTTTGAAGGGAATGAAGGGACAGCGCTGAGAGAGGGAGAGAAGGTGAGAAAGTGAAGGGAAAAGATTCTGAGGCCAGGTACATTCATAGCTAGAGGTGCTTGGCAGCATATGGACAGCCAGGAGGAATAGGAGGAAGGGGATTGATTGTCACAGATGGAACCAATGGGATCTCTGAGGGATCAGAATCTTAGAGGCTGTGTGTTGCGGGGA